CCCCAAAACCCCAAAACCCCAAAACCCCAGTGAGAAAAATAATAATCTAAGCAAAGATATTTAATTGATAAAATATAAGTATTGAAATTTTCAAAACATTTTCACTAAAATTCATACATAAATATTGAAGGCATATTAAAATTATTAATTAATATAAATCGATAATGATATCTCATGCTTCAAAAGTTCACAATAAAAGCTAGCATTTCATTAAACTAGGATATATGTTGAACTTCTATGGAAATTAATAGCCTATAGAACTGATTTAGGATAAACTTACTAGCCAGTATCCTCGATTCTACGAGAATTGCAATAGCCGAACCTCGAGATTGGGGGGTTTTCATGACTAATACTCTGCCTATTTTAACACCAAGGGTTGCCTGAACTATAAATGGTCCCATGTATATCGATAATAGTTCTAGCAAACTAATGCCTAGATACCTTTAAAATCTATATTAGCGAGCAGATCATTTGGCTAATTGAATAAATCTGATAATCATCAAAATGGAAATCGATATTTCAAGGAGGAAGGTTTTCGAAAGCTCGGTTTTTTTGAATAAACCGTCTACGAATATGCAGGAAGCTGCTACAATCAAATTCATATTAAAGGAGTCAGAATAAACTTCGAAACTTTGCTTGAAACCTCAAAACTTCTCGTGAAAAAACATAAATTTTTGACAATGTCTGTGAGATCTATTGAAGATGGCAAAGCTGAATGGGCGGAATTAAATGAATTGAATTTCAATGACATTCAAGAGTTTATTATTGAAGATGATAGTTAATTCAAAAGTAAAATAAATGAGCTGAACAATTAAAAGCTTGATTACTAGAATCTACTTCTAAAAATTTATCTTCTTCAAACTCCATCTTAGAGTGTGATCCTTTTGGGTTATCCTCATTGTTAGGGCGATGGATTAGGTGGAATGATTTTGATAAATGACTTCTTGACAATATACAATTATTTGAGATCTGGAAACATTTAAGCTTTAGAAACTATAGAAACTATTTAACCTTTACCTAATGTTGAAGATCTAGCTTTTCCAGAAGGGATCCCTGAAAAAGAGCAATATTGAATTTAATAAATATTAAGAGAACTAAATGAAACAAGACCTAAATGGAAGCCTATAATTCCTTATAAAATAGCAGGAAAGTAATTAAAAAATTTCCCATAATTTAAGGATGGTACTAAAGAAAATTATGAGGCTATAAAGTTAAGATGCAAATAAGAAGGAGTGTCAATAGGATCAGTCTTACTTGCCTCTGTCTATTTTAGTTTATCTAAAATGGCAAATAACCATAATCTAGAACTTTCCTTTGACACTGATGTAAATCTTAGAGACAGATTTCCTGTAAAACTTGGAAATAGAAATTTTTAACTTTTTATTGGAATGATTACTTTGAAGTTTAAGCTTAATGAGGAAACAAGTTTTTGGGATCTTGCGCATTCAATATATGGACAGCTTTAAGAAAGCTTAGAAAATAGAGACCATTTTCTTTACCATGTGGTTAATAGATTATTTGACTATTAATCTCCTGATTATGTTAAAAATCTAGAAGAAAATGGTAATCTCGGAAATATGTTAAACTTTTCTAATGTTGGAAGATATCCCTTCAGCCCAGTTTATAAAAGTGATGGTTTTGATGATATTATCTTCGAAAAAATGCACGCCTACGGGCATGACTGGAGCCCAAACTTTGCTGGTTATTTTATTCTTGTTCACTCAGTAGATTTTATGAGCTACACATTAGTTTGTGAAGAGTAAGAAGAAAATTAAATAGTTGGGGAGAGATTGTTTGGATATTACGTTAATTTAGTCGAGTCATCTCATGCTTTAGAAAAAGATTATAAGTTAATCGATTTCCATTCATCAGAATGAGAAAATATTCAGCAATAATAAAGATATTGCGATTAAGCCTAATTTTTATCTTTCAATTATCTTCAAATTAACAAATGATAGTATAGTGGGGTTTTGGGGTTTTGGGGTTTTGGGG